GGAGATGCTGCTTCTGACTGCAGCAAAGATTTTAATTTTACATTTTTGCACTAAAACTGTTGAACTATGAAATCTCTCTCAGTGAAACTGAATATACAGCTCACTAGCAATCACTAATATTTTCCAGAAATGTCATAACATAGCACTAATCTTTCCAGTATACTGCATAAAGGTTTACCTGGTACATGACTGAATTCTCATTTCTCTAGCATGGTCAACCTCTATCTATGGCAACACATGCCACCACCCACAGGACACACCAAATTAAGGACAATTATGCAAGTCACATGATTCTAGCATACTCCTACAGTTAGGTTGCAAATCACTGTGTATTTGCACACCTCTCCCCACTACCACACACAACTTTCATGATTAAGAGTAATAAATGCTTTAAATCAGCTTAAAAGTGACCTGAAAAGGTGTTAAAAAAAATGGTCTACACCTCCCTTACCCTCCCCCCCCCACCATTGCTTTTAAGATGCATAAAAGCCTAAAGCCTATTTGAAATCTTGCTTCAAAATATCAGGAATAGTAAGTCTTTCCTTCCTTGTTTTTGCTAGAGGACTAGAGAATTGGAGTGGGAGCCTTCTCTGCCTTCAACTGAAAGGGCAGGGAACTGAAACTGCCAGGCATCTAAATTTAAACAGATATCAAATTAAAAAAAGTTAGTCTGACTAATAATCCTTACTTTCAATTTTTCAAGATGAATTTAATTTCTATTTAGTTTTGATGCTACCCTTATAGTCCTCCAGAAAAAGAAGACCTAAACTTCTAATGTAAGGGAAATGCTGAATATCTTTCAGACCTATAAGACACACAGCAAAAAAGGCACAAATCCAGATTTTCTCTTTTGCAGAGGCCATTTAGGTTGCACAGGTCAAGCTAAAACCTTAGGCCCTGTCTAGGTTAGAGAAATTTGCACGAGTGCAGTTACCCTAAGGCAAGCTCCCTATGTAGACTCACTGTAATAGCGTAAAACAGGGCTTACTCTGGTCTGGAATACACAGTGCTGGTGCAAGCCCCACGGAAGCAATGGAGTGCTTCTACATCATGGGTTTGCCCCAACATAGCTACATCAATATTAGCTTCCCTTAAATCCGTGTGCGCTAAACCAATTTGTGGGTCACAACAAGGGGGGAGGGCTGTTGTGTTTTAAACTAGTGCACTTATGATTATGTATCATGCATACACACATTTGATCAGCCAACCGTTCATCTAGTTCAATATTCTGCCTCCTAGAGAAGCCACTTTGGAGAAAAATACAACCATATGTAATGGACAATTAGGCAATAACATGCCTATAGGAGAAGGTTTTCCAAGTTCAAGTAGTTGGTGGCTGACATATGTCCTGAACCATGAGGACTGGTTAATAAAAAGTGTTTATGATAGTTCATGGAGCGACAGCTTACATCAATATGCAGATGACTAACCATTTGAGTTTTAAGTTTAATGCCCTATATCTTCTAGGAAAGAGTCCCACAGGTTGGTTATGTATTTGAGTATTTCCTTTATCTGCAAGTGTATTACTTTTATAATTCCAGAGGGTGTCCCTCTTATATTAGGAGATAGTAAGCAGCAGATTCAGCCTGATGTTCTTTACCATTCATGTTTATACCTCATGTCACTACTTACCTCCTAAAACTAAGCAGTCCTAATCTTTCTGAGCTTCCCTTATGATTCTTCCAATGCTTCTAATTATTTTTGTTGCCGTCTCCTATTTTTCCTGTCCTCCAGACCATAACTTCTTCTCCTGTATCCATATTCATGAACATAAACCTAATTCTCTGATCACAGGATATTTCTGTGATACAACAAACATGTACTGTGTGCAAGAACCTATCAAAAATGCAGCTGTCTCCTCTGAAGCATCTAGTACTGACTGATCTTAAAGGCAGGTTATAGGACTACATCAACCATGGTTGAGAATACATTGCAATTCCTACATTTCTATTAACTTTCACATTTCTTCACTTGAGTGCTCAAATGCAACATTAAGGTTACAGTTATAGGAGTTCATGCTCAATTTAGAACTAGTTTGCCATACTCCACCTTCTGGGCTATGTACACATTCTTCTTATATACACATTCTGTTTCAGGTCGGATTTCACCTTTAAATATATTAGATTAATTTCATGACAAGTAACTTTAAGGTCTGCATCATTTCAATGCAATTCTACTACGTAATTAAGCAGAGTTGGTGGAACTCACACCGGTCTGACTTTCAATCATTACAGGAATGGTACTTGGTCAGAATGCAAGTTCTCTTTACCATTAGTGAAAGTTAATAGGGCCCCTCTCCCTTGCAACCCAGCTAGCTGCTCCTACTGACTGACCCAACAATGAAGTTCTACCTATGTTTATAAATTTCTTGTTGTGGCAATAAGTCATCATGCAAAACAAGCAAATAAATAAAAGAGTGCACAAGGTTTAACCACAAAACTTTGGAAAGGGAAAACCTGCTACAAAAATTATGGGAAAAATATGATATAGGTTTCATTTTAGCTTAATTTTAAAATATACCATGTGAAACAACTGTCAGTCATAATAAGTTCACCCTGCCATTCACATTCCTGGAATTACTTCCATCTTGGCAGTAGTAATTCACAATGTGAACTATAAAAACAACTTCCAGACCAAGCACAGCATACAAGACCCTAACCAAGAAGAAAACCTATTCAATCAAATTTAAACTTATTTATATTGACATTTAGTAAAGTTTTTAGAATGTACTTCTATTAATTTCAGCCATTTTTTAAGCTGACAACTTGTACCAAACACAGTATTGCCAAGCTGTTTAAACGCAATGTGTAGATTATTTTAAATTTTCACAAAACTCAACAGATCTAATTTTTTAATTACAATGAAAAAGTTAAGATTGCCACTGCAATGCCATTGAGACATGGTGCCTGAAGACCAATAAGCAAACAGCTTTACCTACTGCCTGGTGAGTGGAACATTAACACTATACTTGAACACTACCTAAATTCTAATGTCCAAACTTGGGTATTTAGTAGTAGCAAGGAAAGTGTTTAAAAATTATTTGACTAAGTTCCTTAATATGCAATTTGAGAAGTGAGCCCATAACTTGATCAAATTTCCTTTAATACTTTGGATTTTCATAGAATCACAGAAATGTAGGGCTGGAAGAGACCTCAAGAGGTCAACAACATTGTACACACAACTTTGAAGAGTGACCACTACTATGTGCCCTGCAACAATGATAAATGTAAAATTGTAGTTGAAGTTAACAATTATAATTTTGCCTCCTTCCTATTGATACCTGTACCACTTAAGATCATTATAAGTGAAAGATGACAGTTTTCAATTTCTTTACTTTGTGCATTTTGTTCAGTTTCCTTGCCTGTATGGATCATTCACATCGCACCACAGAAAAAGGTGTTTTTTTTTAAAATAGGAAATATGATCATATTATAAAAATTGGCAAGAAACTTAAATACAGCTATAGTATCAGAGGGGTAGCCGTGTTAGTCTGGATCCGTAAAAAGCAACAGAGAGTCCAGTGGCATCTTTAAGACTAACAGTTGTATTGGAGCATAAGTTTTCGTGGGTGAATGCCCACTTCGTCGGATGCATGCATGCGTCCGACGAAGTGGGCATTCACCCACAAAAGCTTATGCTCCAATATATCTGTTAGTCTTAAAGATGCTACTGGACTCTCTGTTGCTCGTTAAATACAGTTATAGTAACTGAAAGTACTTGTTTTAAAAGTTATTAAGCGATGATGTCCAAAGGTGCTGCTTCCATCAGATATTTAATATTTTAAAAATATGCCTAACTACATTTTTACCCAAGCAGACTATAGTAGTTTAATTATGGATGATGCACAACATAATTATGGTTTTCTGAGAATGGTATTTAATTGATAACTTGGGTAACTTGCATTTCTGAAAAGATGACTGTTTTTAATTTAGTACCCAGACAAGCTGATTCAGGGACATGAGATAGGAGGGAATCATTCTTCTTTAAACTAAAGCACCAAAGCTGGCTCCACACCTGGAGATATTGAATAGATAGCAAACCTGACAGCAGAACACAGAACAATTTAGCCTTTAGGGTTCAACCCTGCAGTGCTTAATTTGTGCCAGGGCTTGCTAGGGCAGAGTCCCAGCACCTCTAGGGTTGGCAGTTCATAGCCCCGGCAACTCAGGGCTTGCCACATCAGGTATGAAAGTTTAAAAAAATGGCTTGAGCCAGGGCACCTGATTGTTGGAGCCCCAGCCCCTCGCTCATTACAAACGAAGCACTGCAAACCTGTTCTGCGTTTGGTAATGACCAAGTTCTCCGTGTCTCCTGGCCGTTTCTCACGAAGGGACTATCCTAACAGCAGCCCCACGGCCAGTGTCGGCATTGTTCTCGGCGCGGCTACAGCCCCCGAACCCGGAGGCGAGCTCTGCGGCTCCGCCACACTTTCACCAGCACAAGTTGGCCCCGTAAAAAAAATATATTTCCTCACCTACACCTCGTCTTGCTGGCAAGTGCATGGCCGAGCCTTATCCCCCGCCCCGCGGGGCTCCCCTCCGGCTTGGCCCCGGGACACCCCCGCGGGGAAGCTCGCACCGCTGGCGGGAGGTCCCAGGGCCGGCCGGCCAGCTCGCTCCTTCCCCACCGCGCTCGGCTGCTTGGCGGAGCCCCCCGCCGCGCTCAGCCGGACCCCGCGGGCGGAGCGGCAGGGGCCGGAGGCCGGCTCCATCCCCGGCCCCGCTGCAGGGACAAAGGCGGCTGCGGGCCGGCGGTGCCTGTGCGAACGGCAGTCGGGGGGGGGGCACACCGGGAGCCCCCCCACCGGCGCACCCGCAGGGGGGGGGGCAGCGCTCCCGGGGGTCGGAACCAGCCGCCCGCGGGGCTGGGGGGCGGTACCAGGCCCTCGGGCCGGTAGCAGTGGCGGGGGAGGGGAAGGGTCTGGCCCGGCCCCGCCTCTTCACGAGCCGGTCCCCGGGGGGCGAGGGAGGCCCGGTCCCCCCCTCCTCCGGCCGCCTCACCTCGCTGCGCGTGATCCGGTGCCGCCCCAGCTTCACCACGGCGAAGTTGCCCTTCCCCAGCGTGCCCTCGATGTCGTAGAACCCGACGCGGACGGGCCCGGGCCCGCGGGGCAGCAGCGGGGGGGCTGCCGGGGCTCGGCCATTACCATGCTGGGCTCGGGGGGCGGCAGCGGCGGCAGCGGCGGCTCGGTCCGTCTGGGGCCGTGCGGCGCCCTGCAGCCGCGCCGCCCCGCCCCCCGCGCGTCACCGCGCGCGTCAGCGAAGGAGGAGTCTCGCCATGGCAACCGTAGCCACCGCCACCGGATGAGCAACGGCCTCCTGGGGCTGTTCCCTGCGGGGCTCCCCTCCCAGCCGTCCCCGGCAGAGCGCCTACTCCCCGCCGGCCTGGGGCTGGGAGAGACCGGGGGGAGGCCGATCCATTGTGGCCGTGGGGGGAGATGTCCGGGCGTGGCGGGAGGGCTACCGACCTGCACGGCTCGGCCCCCCTCCGAAGCTGGGGAGAGCCTCCCCCACACAGCTTGGTTCTCCCCGGGCTGGGGGCCAGGAGAGCCCCGCCCCCCCAAGTCCTGGTTAGCCCTGAGTCTGTGCCTGGCCTGTCGCCACCCCCACTGCTGCTGTGCCCCCCACTGCACAGCACGCCCCCGGGCTCGCAGTGCCCCGCCCCTAGCACCCCCCACTGCACAGCACTCCCCTGGGCTCCCAGTGCGCCCCCCCCCCACTGCACAGCACGCCCCCGGGCTCGCAGTGCCCCGCCCCCACTGCACAGTACGCCCCTGGTCTCGCACTGCACAACACGCCCCTGGGCTCCCCGTGCCCGCCCCCGCCACTGCACAGCTTGCCCGTGGGCTCCCAAGCCCAGCTCACCCCAGCCCCCTTAGCCTTCCCTCCATGCGGTTGCCAATCTCTGACCATGTAAGGCCACACCGGCTCCTGTCGCTGCCCTGGTCCCGGTACCCCCTTCCTCAGGGACACACAACCAGTTGGGCACCCAGTCCTGCCCTGCTGCTGGAATGCAGCTGCCAGGGATTCCCACCCTCCAACAGACCACAGGTCCTGTAAGCGCCCTGGGCCTCCGAAACACACCTTGGCCAGTGCTCAAACCCACCCAGGATTCCCCCTGGAGAGGCCCCCCCTCGCTCCAGGCTGATGGTGCCAGGAGCTCTGAGGGTTGAGACAGCCCCTGGCAGCAGCAGGGAGGTCCAGCATTGCCTCCTCTGCCAGGTGCCTCACCGTGCAGAGACACTCTCTTAAGTATTTGTAGTGGGATAGCACGCATGGGCTCGACTGCACTAGGTACTGTACAAACCTGTAACAGATATCATCCCTGCCCCACAGCGTGTCCATGAGCCCACTATGCTCCATGTCACACTGGTCCTTTCCCCACTGCATCAGTAGTGGCACTTTTGCTGATGTATTTACTAGGTGTACTGTTACTGGGAAGGGTCCACCAGAAATCATTAATTAGCAGAAAAGTGAAGTCTCTCCCTCTACTTCTCGAGCCCCAAACCTCCAGCTTGACCCTGTACTTGCTCTGTCAGCACAACTGCCTTGAAGGATGGGGAGCCTCCACACTGATTCAATTCACCCCTTCGCTAAGGACAACTGGGAAACAGGTGCTCACCGTCCAGGCTATTTACTGAAGCAAATAACCTCCTTGCCACTGAGAGCAGCATTTCAGATGGGCTAGGATCACCTCTATAGGGGAGTGCCCGCAATATTTACACTCCCCTCCTTGTCAGCTAAAAGCATGAAGCTCTTGCCATGGTCAGTGTTTCCAATGGGGCATGTAGGCCCAACATGAGGGACCTTGTAGGCTGGATCAGAGGCATTGGTTGCTGATGAATGCTGAATTTATCACCCCAAAGAGATGGTTTAAATCAGGAGTTCTCAACCTTTTTCTGAGCCCCCCCCCCCCCAACTATGCTATAAAACCTCCATAGTCCACGTGTGCCACAACC